ATTATTCCTATTCCTATAAATAAATAATATAATAATTGATTAAATAATTTAATCAAAACCAAATAATTTAAGTACATAATTAAATAAAACATCTAAATTCTGGGAAGGTTGAGCTGAAGCTGCTACTTCCCCCCCAGTTCAGCTCTGGGATAGCAGATGGAAAACTCATGGATTAATATATTGGAGCAAAAATAGGTTTAATCTCTAATTTAATTAACAAACTTTAATTTAATGGTAAAAAGTTTATTTCATTAACGCCTCCAGCATTGCCTTTCCATTCATTTCCACCCCCAGGAGCAGGTGGAGAACCAATAAGTTAAATACAGAAGTTTATATGGCGGTAAACAATGTAACCCTCATCTCCTCCCTCTATCCCAACAGCCCAATGCACTCCAGGCCATCACTCCGGGGGCTGTGGAGGCTCTCCTGGGGGTGCTGCAGCGAGGAGGAGGAGTGTCCTCACCATCCCCAGGGCTGCTGGAGGTGACCCTGCACACCGTGGTGGCTGTGGTCCATGTCCTGCACAGCAGCAGCCCCAGCGCTGGCCATGTGTCCCTGAGGGTCCTCCTCGATGGCTACTTCAGGGTCCTCAACTCTCACCTCCACATGGCCTCCATGGAGCCAGAGGTGGCTGGTGACCTCATCACTCTGCGGGTGCTCATGCTAGGTAGGTGTTTGGGGACAGGATGAGGACACATGGGGCTGGTGACCTCATTTGTCTGCAGGTGCTCATACTGGGTAGGGGGTTGGGAACAGGATGGGGGCACTTGGGGCTGGTGGCCTCGTCACTCTCCAGCTGCTCATGTTGGGTAGGTGGTTAGGGTCACATGGGGACACATGGGGCTGTGGGGTGGTGCTGAGTGTTGTCACCTTGCTGTAGATGCCATCCCAGCCATGTTGAATTGTGAGGACCGTCCAGTCCTCCAAGCTGTCTTCCTCAGCAACAACTGCTTCGAGCACATCATCCGCCTCCTCCAAAACAGCAAGGTACTATGGTGGTCACCTTGGTGTCCCCCCTTGGTGACATCAGGGTTGGGCACCCTCATCTCCATCCTTGTCTTTCCTGGCTCTAAATGATCTTGGGACAGAATGGCTGTGCTGCAACATCATCCATGGGGTGGGGACACTCCGGAATGCCCTTCTATGTGTTCCACATCCACCTCTTGCCTGACTCAGTGTCTCCCCTGTGTCATTCACCCTGTGGCCACCTTGATCTTCCCCCTTGGTGACAAGTTCATCTCCATTCTCGTCTTTCCTGGCTCTAAATGATCTTGGGACAGAACGGCTGTGCTGCAGCAGCATTCATGGGGTGGGGCCCCTCCAGAACCCTCATCCCTGTGTCCCACCCCGTGTGCCATGTCCACCCCGTGTGCCATGTCCACCCCATGTCCCACAGCTCTACCTCAGCAGCTCACGGGAGGCAGGTGAAGCCCGGGATGAGGTCTGCATGTTGAACAGGGATGGCGTCCAGCAGGTACGGAGTGGAACCACCCCATAACCAAGCCACCAGGTGTGGTAGGCTTGCATTCCACTCAACTCCATGGCTCAACAGACCCCCCACCCCCATGTTCCTGTAGGTTGTTGACAGCAGCTCCGACACCATCGCAGTCCACGCCATTGGGGTCCTCACCGCCATCATGAGCAACTCGCCCTCAGCCAAGGTAGGCAGTAGGTCAGAGGTGGGGAAGACACTCCTAAAGTGGATGGGTTTGGGTGGTCTCACCTTGTGAGTTGGCCTGGAGTAGGGGCAGCACGTGGTGTGGCTTAGCACAAGGTCCTACATGTCTGTGTGCTTGCAGGAGGTGTTCAAGGAGCGCATCGGCTATGCCCATCTCTACGAGGTGTTGAGGAGCCAAGGTCAGCCCACCCAACGCCTGCTCCAGGAGCTCCTCAACATGGTGAGTATTCCCTCTTCTTCTCCACACCAGGCAAAGCCCTCAGTGCTGGTGGGTCATGGTGAATCTCAGCCCCCAGCAGCCCCATTCCTGCCCCATGGTCCTGTCCACCCTGCTGGTTTCCTCTCAGCTTCCTCCCAGGGGCTCTGGGGCCATCCTTAGCTTGGATCATGCTCAACTTTGGGGATTTTGAGCTCTTTTGGATATGAAACTGTTTGCTCTGGTGCTGCTGGACACAGGAAGGTCTCCAAGGCACTTAATGAATGGAGGTCTTGAAACTCTGGATGCATGGGGTCTCCAAAATACTTGTTGCACAGGAGTCTCCAAGGGACTTAATGCATGAGGGTCTCCAAGGCTTTTGATGTACAAGGATCTTCAAAATGCTTCCCAATGTGACCAGGAAGAGGATCCAGCCCTCTCCACGGGGTCAGGGCTGCACCAAGCACTTCTTGTTTGTTGGCAGGCAGTGGAGGGCGACCACAGCTCCTTCCCAGTGCGTCCCATCTGCAACGAGCAACCTCTACTCATCCTTCTGGCCTGGCTACCAGCTCTGGCCTGTCGGGATCTTCAAGTCTTCCTCTCAGGTTGGCTACGTCGCCTCTGCGAAGCCTCCCTGCCCAACCGCCTCACCTGCGTCAAGGCAGGCATGGTGGGCTCTCTCCTGGCTGCCCTGGCCACCGAGCCAGCGCTGCCAGCTGCCTGCTCTGAGAACCTTCTGGAGCTCTTGAGGGCCTTGGGAAGCCTCTCCATCCGCCCCGGAGAGCTGCGGCAGCTGCTGCGGTTGCTGCGGCGTGAGCGAGGTCGGGGACCACATCCCTATGTGGCACCTGTCATCCGGGCACTCTCGGGGATGGCCAGGGTGGAGGGACCTCCCAGAGCATTGCAGTGCTTTGACCTGACTCCTGGCATGGCTGGAATCATGGTGCCCACCGTGCAGAAGTGGCCTGGAGGTGCCTTCGCCTTCCATGCGTGGTTATGCCTGAGTGAGGAGGAGGCTGAGCCACCAGTAAGGCCGAAGAGGAGGCAATTATACAGGTGACACTCGGTGGAAGGGTTGAGGTGAGGGTGAGGAGGGGCAGCGCCACCATTCCCACCATGCTTCTCCTCCACCAGCTTCTTCACAGCTGGTGGGACAGGCTTTGAGGCATTCTTCACTGCCAGCGGCATGTTGGTGGTGGCTGTCTGCACCAAGAAGGACTACATGACTGTGGCATTACCAGAGTTTGCCTTCAACGACTCAGCTTGGGTAAGCATCATCCCATCCCTGGCCCCATCCCTGGCCACCAGGATGCCTGACACCACTCACTGTCCCCTCAGCACTGCATTGACATCGTCCACGTCGCTGGCCGTCGGCCCTTTGGCCAGAACATCGTCAGCATCTACGCTGATGGGCACCTGCGGACCACAGCGCAGCTCCGTTTCCCCTCCCTCCACGAGGTGAAGTACCCTCCTGGCACCCAACCGGACCCTCCCTGTGGCATGGGGCTGGGAGCTGAGCATGACCTTCTCCCTTCCAGTCTTTCCCCTCCTGCTGCATCGGCTCCGCGGGCCACCGGACCACCACCACCGCTGCCACCACTACTGGTCACCCACCAGCATCCCATGGGCCAGAACTAGTCTTCTCCTCGCATCCTGTGCTTGGCCGCTCCCAGTCTGTCCCTGCAGCCCTTGGCCCCCATGCTTGGACCCCAACTCAGCTGCCCACGGAGGGGGTGGTGGCCACCACAG